CAAATAAATAAATAAATCTTTTTTTTTTTTTTTGACAGGCAGAGTGGACAGTGAGAGAGAGAGACAGAGAGAAAGGTCTTCCTTTGCCATTGGTTCACCCTCCGATGGCCGCCGCGCCCGGTGCGCTGCGGCCAGCGCACCGTGCTGATCCGATGGGAGGAGCCAGGTACTTATCCTGGTCTCCCACGGGGTGCAGGGCCCAAGGACTTGGGCCATCCTCCACTGCACTCCCTGGCCACAGCAGAGAGCTGGCCTGGAAGAGGGGCAACCGAGACAGAATCCGGTGCCCTGACCAGGACTAGAACCCGGTGTGCCGGCGCCAGAAGGAGGAGGATTAGCCTAGTGAGCCGCGGTGCCAGCCAATAAAAAAAAAAAAAAAGACAGGGATTGTGGGTGGGGGGGGATACACAACTGAATAAAATACTGGCTCTTCCTAGATGGAGAAACAGAGGGCTTGAGAGGCTTATTCTCCCCCTACACACACATGCACATGGTGTCAAGGCTAAATGGGGGACCCACAGTTTTAAGCCAGGCAGGGAGTTCCTGAGACCCAGGTTTTATTTATCCATGTGTGTGTCTATTATTTGAAAGGCAAAGAGACAAAGAGAGGTCCTCCAGCTGCTGGTTCACTTCCCAAATGCCCGCAACAACCAGGACTGGGCCAGGGCCAAACAAGGAACTAGGACCCAGGAACTCAATCCAGGTCTCCCATGTGAGTGGCACGAACCCAAGGACTTGAGCCATCACCTCTGGAACGTGCATCAGCGGGACGCTGGGTTCGGAGCGGAGTCAGGACTTATATTCAAGCCCTCCGATGTGGGAGGCAGGCATTTCAAGCGGTAAATTAACCACTGCACCATATGTCCATCCAAGACCCAGGTTTTAAACAACCCTAACATGCAACAGACTTGCCTCACAATTCAATCAGATCCTTTTTTCCATTAGTATCTACTGGTGTACTGGTCTCAGGTGGGACACCTGACTCCACGCCCAGAGAGGCTCTGTCCAGGTTCCCTTCAGATCCCAGAAGATCCGCCCAGATAAATGCCACACTGACATGGCGAAATCCTGGAGGGCCTTTCCTCCCATCCTCCCCTTTCAGCTAAACACGATTCGGGGCTTTTCTCCAAGGTCTGTGTCCTGTTCCCCTTCCTGTTCCCAAATGGTGAGATACCGGCCACGTACATAGGAGCTCAGGAAGTGTTTCTTACAGAGATGAACCTTCCCTTGTAGAGTTTCTTCAAGAAACGCAGCTCTGTTCTGAGCAAGCGGGGCCCCCGCCTCCCATCCTGTGTGCCAGTCACCATTCCTGCAGGCTACTGATGCTGCCTGGGAGGCAGGCCTTCAGCAGAGCACCAGCTCAAGAAGAGTCTCCAAGGCTTCTGCCCGGGGAGCTCTTCTCTGGCCTTTGCCCACTGGCAAGCCGCGCACACTCACTATACAGGGGCAGGGGCCACTGTCTCCCTCGTATCCATATCTCAGGGCTAGGACTGATTGCCTCCATAGAGAGATACAGAGAGAGACAGAAACAGAGCTAGAGACGCAGATAAAGATACAAACCCACATTGCACTGTAGCTTGAAAGGAAACCATCTGAACACTACTAACATGTCCCTTCTAAATGCTGCTCCAGGAGTCCTCCAAAGAGAACATGGCTATGAGTGACGGAGAAACCACAGCTCACCTGTACACCAAGCTGAGGTTGTGAACACACATCTGTGTGGTCCACGCAATGAAGCAGAATAAAGGGCCCTGCATTCTCTCCTAAGCCCCTGACCCCACATTTCCACATCCTACGACCTGTGACAACTGCACTTCCCCAAACTATCCCTTGGCAGACCAGCCAGATAATAGCAAAGGTAACTGGCTTTCATTTACCCAACAAATACTTATCGGGCAGCTGTTGAGACCAGGTGCTGGGAAGGCAGAGACAACACACACAAATTCCTACCTCGCTGAGGATTCCACTGGGAACAATAAACAAAATCAATCAGCAAAGGGTGGTTAAGTGTTGCAGAGAAAAATAAAGCAGGGAAGATAGAAGGAGGCTGGGTTTTGACATCACCTTGAGTAATCAGGAAGGCTCTCACTGACATCTGAGCCGAGACCATGTGGAAGTAGGAGAGCAAATGGGGGGAAGAGAGAGCCATTGTAAAAGTCAGCAGGCAGGAACAGCAAAGAACACTCCAGAGTTCTGTTTGAACATCGATAAGGAAGCAACTCAAGACTGGTGGTGCTCCAGGCAAACCCTGCAGTGTCTGGGGCCAGCTGGGGCTCAGGGGGCCTCTCTAATGATTAACCTGTGAACACCACCAAAGCAGCTCTCAAGCCTGCAGACGGTGGCAATCCTACCTGGGCTGGCACTGGAGTGGAGGCTGGAGTCCAGGACTGCCCCTCTGTACTCTCAAGACCCCAGCCCCCAGGGACCTACCCACCATCCCCCTGCAGCACAGTGTCCATCACACAGCCCTGCCACTGACTGCCCTTCCCAACTCCAGAGGACAAGACCGAGTTTGCCCACAAAGAGAACATCTGGGAGTGTCTCCAAGACCCTTTTAGAAGTGTATAGGATTCTGGCCATGGCTGTGGCGCAGGTTAATCCTCCACCTGTGGCGCCAGCATCCACATGGATGCCAGGATTCTAGTCCCAGCTGCTTCTCTTCCAATCCAGCTCTCTGCTATGGCCTGGGAAGGCAGTAGAAGATGGCCCAAGTCCTTGGGCCCCTGCACTCACATGGAAGACCTGGAAGAAGCTCCTGGCTTCGGATCGGCGCAACTCCAGCCTTTGCAGCCATTTAGGGAGTGAACCATACGAAGAAAAACCTTTCTGTCTGCCTCTCCCTCTCACTGTAACTCTACTTCTCAAATAAAAAAATCTTCCAGGCCGGCGCCGCGGCTCACTAGGCTAATCCTCTGCCTTGCGGCGCCGGCACACCGGGTTCTAGTCCCGGTTGCCCCTCTTCCAGGCCAGCTCTCTGCTGTGGCCAGGGAGTGCAGTGGAGGATGGCCCAAGTACTTGGGCCCTGCACCCCATGGGAGACCAGGAGAAGCACCTGGCTCCTGCCATCGGATCAGCGCGGTGTGCCGGCCGCAGCGCGCCAGCCGCGGCCACCATTGGAGGGTGAACCAACTGTAAAGGAAGACCTTTCTCTCTGTCTCTCTCTCACTGTCCACTCTGCCTGTCAAAAAAAAAAAAAATCTTCCAAAAAAAGTCTATAGGATCAAAACTATTTCCTAATAAGATGCTTTCCACCCTGAGCCTCATTCTCTCACAAGAACTTTTCTCAAGGGTGCACAAACATGATGATGAAATTCTCTGATGGGTCATTGAATGAGTGTGTGAGTATGCTTCTATTTGACTAATACCTCCCCTAGCCCGCATAAATAAAACCTCTAGGAGGTCCTCAGTACATTTTAGAGTACAGAGGGGTCCTAAACCAAAAGATTGGAGAACTGGTGGAAAAGACTCACGAGGCAGATTCAGAAGACAGTGCGGCAGGCATGCTGGCCTGGTGGGCATAGCCCACATCCCACAGCCGAGTGCTGGTTCCAACAATCTACTTCCCATGTAACTCCCTGCTCATGCACCTGGGAGAGGGCAGCTAATGGCCCCGGATGGAGTTCCTAGATCCTGGCTTTGGTCGGGTTTTTGCTGGCCATTTGGTGGGTAAATTAGCAGACTGAAGGCGGCGGGTGTGGGTGTGTGTGTGTGTGTGTGTGTTTCTTTCATATAATGACATCTTTAACAGAGAGAGAAACAGAGACCTTATCAAGACTCTGTTGTCCTGTAACTAAAAAGGAAATAGACTGCCCAAGTGAAAAACCTTCTGCTTTCAAATATATGAAGGTAGGGCTCCTGCCTCCAGTGTAAGGAGCACGCAGCGGGGAGTGCCCACACAGAGACCCGGCGTGGGCCGGACTCCCCTCTCCCGCCGCCCAGGAGTCTTCGCCCACCGCAAGTGTCTGCGTGTGCCTAGGAACCCCGCGGGGCCGTAGGGAACGCAAGTGCGGCTTCCCGACAGCCCTGGAAGCTGGGAACAGCTCCATTAGGCCGCCCTCCGCTATGCTTAGAATAATGAACAAGATGACCAATGGCCAGGAGCAACGCAGGTGTCACCCAAGGGTGGCGGGACCCTGAACTCTTAGCACCTGGCGTCTAGGAGCCTGGGGTCAGCCTCCGCAGAGCAGGGACGCAGGGAGCTCGAAACCACCGACCGAAACGCGCCAAGTTCAACCTCCGCACGCTAGGAAGAGAGGGAGCTGAAGACGGCAGGCAATTCCGAGTGTGAGAAAACCCATCAGGAGAAGGAAACCTGCCGCGTTTTCGCTCCGCTTCTGCTCCTGTAGAACTGGGTGGACCTGAACAGGTCCCCGGGGCCTCCCTCTGCCGCACGACGCCCAGCGGAGGACGCGACCGCGATCGCGCCTGTCAAACGGCGGCGGTCCCTGCGAATGCGCCGCCACCTGGGACACACAGGTTCCCTCTCTGAGCCTCGATTCCCAAAGCCGCAAAACAAGGAAAATGGTTTCAGCTGCGCAGAGTCCCTCCTAACTCAGGCATTCAATATAGAAAGGTGCAGCGTGCGGAATGCTTTTAACATTTTGCTCAGAGCAGGTGAAATTAAACACTTGGGGAAAACAGGACAGAGCAAACTTCCGAAGCAAAGTGCCCAAGGTCCAGCCCGGCTCCGCCCTCGTGGATCTGCTTGCAAAGCAGGCCTGCGAGCCCCTGGGGGCCCTTCCTTGACGTCGCTGGTCCGGCGGAGGGCAGACGCCCAGGGCACCGAGTCGCTTGCAGCGAGCGGTTTGCGCTCCGGCGAGCAAGGGAGCCCCCAGGGCGCTGAGAGGCGCACGAGCAAGGAGGCGCTGCCGTGCGAGTGGAAGCCCAAACCCAGGAGTTGGTTCGGGGTCCGAGTGCGCGGTGCTCGGCAGGGTTGGAAAGGAAACCACCCCCAGGACGTGCGGGGAGGCCACCGAGCCCGCGCGCGCCGCGCGTCTTACTTGGGGCTTGAGCTCGCAGTTGGCAGAAGCGGGAGCCTCGCGCCGCGGGACAGCGCCCGTGGGCAGGAGGCAGAGGATCTGCAGCAGGAACCAGCTCCGGGGATTCATCCTCCCGACAACGGCTCCGCGTCCCGGGCGGCAGAGGGAATGGGCGAAGTAGCGGGGGCCGCCGGGCCGGGCTAGCCCGCAGCCGCAGGGCGCTGCACGCTCCCGGCGCCAACCATGGCGCGCCCGGCCGAGAGTCCGGAGGCGCTCGCCTGCCGCCCCACGCCTCTCGCCCGCAGCCTCTGCAGTTCGCGCCGTGGCCTCCGGGAGGGGCCTGGGCGAGCCCGGCGGCAGCAGCCACGTGGGACCCGACCCCGCCTCGCCGCGGATCAGCCCCGCAGCGAGGCAGCTGCAGGAGTTGGGACCCGCGTTCCTCCCGCTCGTGAGCCAGAGGGGAAAAGTGAAGTTCCCGCAGTGTCCATTAAGCTCCACCCAAAATCCTGTTGGCTTCTGCCTTGGGGCTTAGGCTGTGGGTTTGAGCACAGGGTGGCCCTTGAGTGACGAGTGACATAGCCCAAAGAAGCAAACGAAGGGCTATTTATCAAGGAAGATGCATTTACACAAAGGAACTCACCTGGAAGTTTAGTCTGTAAGCAACAGTTTCTGCGCCCCCTTAAAGGGGGGTTATGGAAGACACCACTTTGGCACACACAGTAGGCTTGCAAAGTGCAGTCCCTCACTTTGCTACAAGACCCCAGAGAGAGAGAGAGAGAGAGAGAAAGGGATTTTTTTACAGCCTCGGTCCTTGAGGAAGAAAAATGATATAAAAGCGACTGGTTGCACCCCGCCCACCTCTCCTCACCCCCACCTGAGAGCCCTTGACCACTTCCCCTTTACACCCAGACCTAAGCGCCATTCGCTTCCGAGCGGCGTCAGGTGGAGCGTTCGCCTCTGGTTCTTCCGTGCTTTAAGTCCCTGTCCACTTTGAGAATCTGATGGAGGTTCATGACAACCAGCTGGGGGGACAGAGGCCCAGATCTGCCTGCAATGGGGAGAGGCCCGAGCCGGTCAGCCAGTTGGCGTAAAGAACCAACAGCCACTTGTGTCAAACTTGGATTCCTGCAACTTCTGGGGGGCAGGTGTTTTTGTGAAATCGCTTTTTCGTGTTCTCAGTTTGAGTGGGGATTTGCTGTCTGGAGTTGACTCTCTCCTAAAGGGCTCCGTTTCATTCCGGGGCAATCACTGGTCCCCAAGCCCGGCCCTGGTTCGGGTGCCAGCGCTGCCACCTACTGGCGAGAACCGTTCTCCTCCGGCTGTAAGGAGAGGAAAAAATCTACAACGCCAGAGGAAGTAATTACTACTCTTGCATACTGTTTCCCTCACTGAGAAAGAATTATTGGCCAATCAGTGTGGCTAGAGGGAAGGAGGAAGGAATAATACATCACACAACATGACTTAACCTAGTAATTTTCTTATTTTTCTCTTATTTCACCGATTTCTGCTCTTACCTTTGTTTCTTTTATTTTGCTTACTTTGGAGTTACTCTCTCTTTTCTCTCCAGCTTCAGCAGGTGAACCCTCAGGCACTGACTGTAAATTTTCCTTTTCTAATATAAGCATCGAAAGCTACAAATTTCCCTTTTAGTACAACTTTAGCTGCATCATGCAAATTTTGAAAAGTTGCATTACACCTAACTTCCCTGGTGACTTTTTTTCTCTTTGATCATGAATTAGTTAGAAATATGTTATTTAACTCCCAGATTTTGGAGTTTTTCTAGATATTATATCTTGTTATCTATTTCTAATCCAAAGTCACTGTAAACAGAGAGCAGGTTTGGTGTGATTTCAATCATTTTGAATTCACTGGGACATTTCTGTGGCTCAGACTATGATCAGATATTGAGTCTGGCACATCTAGTTCATGGATAACTTTGTTTGCTTCTGGCATTTTTTTTAAGTGGAGCTTTTCAACCAGACCCACCATCAAATAGGATTTATTCTGCAAAACACTCCATGTTCACACATTCTATAGAATCATATCAGCTCTCCCTGTATTGCCTCCACACCCACTCCTAAGTCTGCTATGGCTCCCTGGTGTTGACTCAGACCTGGCGACAATCAGGCCAGCGGGGCCTGGTCCCTACCTGCCTTCTACAGACCTTTGGGCTGAGGCCTTGCTGGGCAGGAAGAGGATGTGAACGGTAACAGTGGCTTCCTCTCTGCCTAACCACAGAGCTTCTGTATCAAGTTCAGCCCCCCTATCATGAGCACTGTTACTGGGCCATGGTTCCGGTGTTGAACTGCCTGAGACCTTTCTCTGCCCCCTCCTCTTCCCCTTTCAACTACAGTTGCTAGCCCTGGCAACCCTCCTGTTTGATTTGTGCAGCTATAACAAAATCCTACAGACTGAGTAATCTGGAAAGAACAGAAATGCATTTGCCCCCCCCCCCGCCCCTCCGGCTGTGGATGCCAGCAAGTCTGATGTCAAGGTGCTGATACCGAGGGCCTCTTGCTGTGTCTTCCCACGGTGGAAGGCAAGGGGGTGAGAGAGCAAAAGATTGAACGCGCAGTCGCAATGCCTTTTATTTTCCTGATTGATCCATTTGCGAGAGCAGGACCCTCAGGACCTAAAGTCGTCTCATTAGGTCCCACTGTCCACTGCTGCTGCAGTGGGGGTTCAGCTTAATCTTTTGGGATGACACAAACCGGAGCACCTCCTAGGTCCACCTACCCTTAAAGTCCTTCTTTGGTGCCCCTACTCTTGGGCTTCCTGAATTTACACAAACCTATCAGACTTGCCCCTTTCAGAGCAGTCACCACCTGAGCAAATTACACTGTAGATAAGTATAAATCCTGAAAATCGGATTTACCCTCAAAAATAAAGGCTTTCCCAGCATGCAGAGGGTTTGCTGTGGCCCCAGCCACACCTCTGTGCCTTTGTCCTGCCTTTCCTTGTCTGAGTTGCTCAACCTGCAGCCAACCAAGACCTGAATCCCTTAATACACTCTGCACATTTCCCTAGAGGGTGGGGACCACCAGGTGTGGCGGACGGGCCCTCTAGATCCTGCCTCCTGATACTCATGTTAATACCCGTCCTTTGCTTGTGGACAGGACTTGCCTCTAACCAGTGGAATTACGCAAACAGGATGAGATGTACTGCAAAACCCTAAGAATGTTGCACTAGTCCTGCAGAAGTCTCCCTCTCTCTGTTGCTGTTTTTCACAAAGCAAGCTGCCCTGACTCCCACAGCCATGAAGAACTGAACTCCACCTTCAACCTAAGAGAGCGCAGAAGCATTTCCTTCCCCAGCTGAGCCTCGGATAAGCACCTGGTTCTGGCCAACACCTGCGCCACAGCCTGGTTGGGTTCTAAGCAGAGGACTCAGCTAAGCCATAATCCACACACCTGAGCCCAAGAAACGGCGATGATAAATGTGTGCTGTTCTAAGCCCTTGAATTCGTGGCAAGCAGTAACTAAGACACAAGATGAACTGGGGGGCCAAGCACAATCCTATGAGCCCCATGGCTCTCTCTCAGCAGGGTGCATCCTTAGGCTGAAGCCCTAAGCTGATGGAGTCGTGGAAACACCTGCTTCCTCCACTGCCTGGCCCTCAGACCCCCTTCCTGGAGGGGACTCACTAGACTTTGTCACACTTCCTCAGTCACCCAGTGTTGGCTCCAGAATTTCTAAGTAGGAAAGGGTGGGAAAGATGCATTGGCTGACCAAGCACACAGTTTTTACTAGACTGTAAGAGGAAAAAAAATCTCCTACCAGCCAAGGCCTGGCCTGGCTCTCTCAATCATACCTGTGGCCTGACACCCACAAAGCTAGACCATGGGGTTGTCCTGTGGGGTGTGTGCAGTTCACAGCGGCAGGCACTGGGCCTAGTGGTTAAGACAGCTGAGTCCTACACAGAGTGCCTGGGTTCCATACCTGCCTCTGTCCTGACTCCAGCTTCCTGCTAATGCAGACGCTGGGAGTCGGCAGTGATGGCTCAAGGGACTGGGTTCCTGACACCCATGTGATAGGCCTGGATTGAGTCCCTAGCTTCTGGCTTCAACCCTTGTCAGAGCCATTCTAGGCACTGGGGAGTGGGTTCTCTCTCTCTCTCTCTCCACCCCTCCTCACCTATTAAATAAACCCATAAATATTTTTAAAATACCATCAACACTGGGGCCAGCACTGTGGTATAACTGGTAAAGCCACCACCTGCAGTGCTGGCATTTCCATTTGGACCCTGGTTCAAGTCCTGGCTGCTCCACTTCTTATCCAGTTCCCTGCTAATGTGCCTGAGGAAACAATATAAGATGGTCCAAGAGCTTGGACCCCTGCACCAACATGGGAGACCCAGATAAAGCTCCTGGCTCCTGGCTTTGGCCTGACCCATCCCAAGCCTTTGCAACCATCTAGGGAGTGAATGAACAGATAAAAAATTTCTCTCTCTCTCTCCCTCTCTCCCCCCCCCCTCTCTCTCCCCTTCTCTTCTTCCTCTCTGTAACTCTGCTTTTCAAATAAATAAATAGATCTTTAAAAAAAAAAAGATCATCAACATCAGACAAGGCCACTCAGTGACCATGGTGAATGAAGACAAAATAAGACTACTCCATAATCACATCTCAACCCAGACAAAACATGAGCTTTGTTCAAGTGCCACAGAGGATCAGACATTCCTCTGTCCTGGCTAATGTTTCTCTGCCAATGCCAGCTTCAGCCTCACTCCTTGCAGGTGAGATGTCTTAGGATACTGGCTGCAGATGGTGTGCACCTCCCATAGTCTTATGTTGAAACCCCAGCCCGCAAGCTGCAGAATGTGACTATAATTAAGAAACTGCCTTCAAAGAGGTGATGAGAAAAGTGAGCCTGCTAGCATGGGGCTTTAATGCTCTCTGACTGGTATCCTTATAAGAAGAGGACACTGGATACACAAAGGACACAACAGGGGCACACACACACAGAGGGGAGCTGGCCATCTGCAAGCCCGGGGGAAAGGAGACCTACCTACACACCGTGCTCGCAGACTTCTGGCCCTGCAACCGTGAGCCAGCTTCTGTTGTTTAGGTCACCCAGTCTGGAGCAGTCTGTAACTAGTACAGATACTGAATCTGATTACACCCACTTTCTGGGAACACTCACCCTGAGCAAGGCCCTGCTCCCTTGAACCTTCCCCCCAGGCCACCTGACACCACAAGTCCCTGTCCCACAACAAGCCTTCCTAATACCCTCTGCCTGAGACATCCCCACCTGCCCCTCCAAGGTGTGAAACAAAATAAGGGGATTCCTCCTCACTGCAAACAGCAGCACATTCAACCAGTTCCCTGGTGGCCTTTGGCTAACGGGTGCTGACAATTGTGTATCTTCTTGGATGACCTTGGCCAAGACCCCAGCCATCCCTTGTGCTTCCATGGATCTAACACCAGATCTCATGCAGAAAGAGAGAGAGACGGACTGCAGTGTCGGCACGTGCCCATTCTTCTCCCGTTTCTCCTCTCTCTGCACACCACATGGGTGCCGCTGTACAGAAGCGAATGCTCACTTGCTCCCCAAGAGTCTGGTACACATTGGTGCCTGCATGAAAGGGTCCCATCAGAAAGGGTCCCTGGTGTGTGAAGATGAGCCCAGCCTCCCAGGAGAGCGCTGCGGAAAACCTGCCCTGCTAGCTCCAGGTTTTGTCTCTCTGCATAGAATATGCAAGCTAAAGGAATCTGTTCAACTGCTGAACACTGGAGGGAAAAAAATATTTCTAGCTTGTGGGAGGAAGAGTGAAGACACCACAGACAGAGCGACCACAGTCAGCTCTTGGGGGGCGGGGGTGGTAAC